AAGAAAGTATTTATTTCATATAAAATGTTTGCAAATGTTGTTAGGAAATTTTGGGACTTCTAATTTAGACCAAATGAAAAACTTATCAAATGTGTGTACTTTTCTTGAAAAATCCAACCAAGAAGTGATTGAAATTCTGTACAGGTATAAAGTTCATTTTCATCAGGTTTGCTTATTTTTTTAATTCAGTAATACGTTTTTTGTGAATTTTAGACTTTCATTATCGTTATTGAAGACACTGAGTTTTACCTTTAACTTTCCTTTAATGTTGATATGATCAATATAAAATAGTCTCACTAATAATTTTTGGGTCTTAATACTGCTTAAAAATTCACTGCTCAAACTATTAACAACAAAAATCGGAAAAGAGATCTTTTTATAGGTACATATTATAATATATCATTATGTTAGGATAAAATTTATTAAATGAAATCTAAATATTTCGTGTTTATTTATTTAAATAAAAACAAAATTGAACATAATTTATTCGTATAATAAAAAATTATGAATAATATATTTATCGGCATGACTTCGAAAGATGAAGCATCAGTTCTTGATTCTGCCCCATCTACTCTACGAGACGAGTGACTGGTACAAGAACGTAACGAAAGCCAACCAAGAGAGAACACATCACCAGGCAGGTCCAGAGCACGCACCGCCTGCCAGAATGGCCGTATCGGCGCTATCAGCTTTAATGACGGATGCGACGTGAAAATAATTTGAGCCTGTGATCAATTCTTATTAAAACGCATTAGTATTCATGATTATTGTTAAAAGTAAAACGAAACCAAAAATTGTTTAAAAGGAGAATAGAACTATGTTTGAATCATGGTATAAATATGACGTCCGAACTCACGACGGCCGAATTCAGTGAGTGCGGACCATTGAACAATGCGATTATGAAGAACCTTCGAGATATACAAGGAAATTTCTAAATTTGAAGTTTCATTTTAAAATATCATGCAACGTACTAGAAGAAGTGATATAAGTGACTTCAGCGAGACTGGCGTCTCTCTCTTTAAAAACAATGATTTTGTAATAATTCCGATATATTTAACAAACGTATTATTAAAATTATTGTCCTTATTATGTGCGAATTATCCATATCGAATTTCTAAAATAAAAGTACTCGTTGTGTATGAGTCATGTTCTTGAAATACTCTAAGTATATAAAGTTGTCCATTCTAATAAGACCTCGTATTGTCTGGTCGGAAAACAATTTTCACTATTTTACTTAATATTCCAGACAGATGAAAAGATTCCTGAAAGCATCAGCTAAACCATTAGTGTAATGAATCCACATTTTTCGGTCCGACGCGAAGGCAAATCAGGGTTTCCAATAGATTGAATGAAATCGATACTTGTGATGAAGACATTATCTGTATTATTTTGTTGAAAGGATGGGATAATGCGTATTACGATTCCTTGAGGTATTCTGTTAAAGTAAATTGAATAAAATGTCTATTTCTATCATGAGTAGAATATATTTCGTTGGATTCTTAGGATTCTAGGGTTCTGAGGTACTGAACAATATTTTTTTTAATATATACATATTTAAATACATGTAACACTTTAAGAATCATATATTTGTAACATCTCAATAATAAAATATGATTACTTAAAAGAATAAATGTTTTTTTTTTATAAAAATTTTACATTTATATAAAAGAAGTTTATATGTTCTTACTCTGACTTCGCTTACCTTTTTGACGTATTTCTTTAAAATGTTATGTCATTCAAACATAAAATATACCTTAATATAAAATAACCAATCTTGATATAGTTAATAAAAGTAAGATGAAACATTACCATATCTTATAAATTCTGTTCTTAAATTCTAGATATATTTAATCGATAAACGTTTTAGTGTAACGCGTTCAGATAAACAGATCAGACCGATGTTGATTCAATATAAAGGGGTACAATGTAATTATTTACGTATCAGTTAATGTATTCCGCAGCACGAACCATTTACTGGGAACTTCGATGGAACATCTCGCATCTGGTATACATTGATATCGGATCAGGCAAGAAAGCATTAATATTTAAATGCAATTATAAGAACCGAGTACATATATCGGTTTAATGAACAAAGCCAGCTTATTTTTTTAATACATAGATAAGTATTAGAACTAAGTAATATCTATACATTTTTTTTTGTAATTATTCATACATATATTTGCCAAATATCTTCTATATTCAGTTTTAAAATAAACATCTTAACGCTGAAACACATTTAAAAAAATTTATGCGAATTGCAGTACTGATATTGTAAGTAGTTGGAGCATGTCCAAAATATTCTGTCATTTCCTTTTATTAAAATGTCCAAAGTAGATTAGCGCCTTACTTATAAATACATAATTTGAAATATGAAATATTCTTTATTGTATATTTTTGTATTCGTATTCTTTATATTCTATGATAATTGTATGTTTCTGAAAGTTTAAACCTGACTTTAAAAGTCAGTCTACTTGAAATGCAATTTAATGTTGCCGACTGAATAGCAAAACCTGCTTCAGTTCTTTGCAGAACAGCATTCTTTGTCTTTAGATGGAAATAGATTTTACCGACTGCTATTTTCTAGTCTAGTACCTCAATGATAAAAGAGCTAATAATGTATTGTATAGTTAAAATGTTTGATAAAAATCAAAATTCTTTTTCTTGAACGTTTATTCCACATTACCTTCCGTTTTTATCCATGCATCATTTTCATTCACAAAACAACTAGTTTTTTTTGGTCTAATGCACATATGGTTAAAATTTAGGCTCAATCTAATATGTTCCTACAATGCCAGTATATTTGTTATTTGAATCAGCTAATAATTATATAAATGTATGTTTATATCTCATTTTTTAGTAGAATTAGCATTGCCTTCATTACAAAGTAGTATTATTTCGATTTAATGGTTTTTAACATAAAGAATACTTATTTTAAAATTCACATCACAATGATGGCTGTTCAAGTATTATCTCAACGCATAATGGGTGTATTATGCTATGGTCTTTGGGCGGGGGTTGCGAGATCAGTCGCCTACTGAACTCCGCACGGGACAGACGTGTTGTATGCTCCTCTAGAATAGAGGGAAAAGTTTTGCGATCGTCGCGTCATATCGCAAAATTTATATAATATGCCGTTTTGTGATTTACATAATTTGGAATGAGAAATTCCTACATGAATTTCGATCATAGAAAATTTGTTGAAATTTTCGTGAAGTGATCGCGGAATGAAAGGTTTGTTAATTAAATATAAATTAAATAAATAGATTAACAAAATATTTTAAAATAACTGGATTGTTTTTATATTTTAAAGTTATTTATCTCGAAAAGTTTTTTAATTAATTGTTTTATTTAAGTAAAAAAGTAATAACTTCAATAATTATAATATTTTTTTCGTAGTGGGTTGGTAGTTGTTACATTAAAATGAAATATATAAAACTAAAATAAAAATATTTATATTAGCGTACGTTTTTTTTAAAAATATAATTGAATAAAAAGGTTAGAGATTTTCAAATAACTTTGTTATATAGTAGTTAAAACTTATGAAGCAGTTTATAAGCGTTGACGCTATTTTACATAGTAATTATGTGATTATAAGTAGAAAAATAAAACATCCTTAAATATTTATAAAAAAAATATTCTTGTAATACTTGAATATTTTGTACCGTTACTTTTGTATTAAAAATGTAATGCTTAGTTGCATCTGAGGGAAAATATATAATCAAAGGAAGTAAGCTTTGTCTTCAAAGCTTATCAAACAACCATTAACTGTGTGCGCTTAAAGAACCACGAAAGACCTTTTAATATTATCTCTTTTGATGATTTTTTTTTACGAGAAGGAAAAAGGTTCTCTCTGTATCTGTATATATGGAATCATTCTAAAGGTCATATATTTATAGTCCCGGTCTCCCAGGCGGCCTAATATTGTGGGTAGTGTTCGAATATTGTGTTGTTTTTAATACGATTTAATCTTAATAACTACTTTACAGTTAATTCCGAGTTCAATTTTGTTCATAATGACACTTGACGTGCTACCAAAACAATTAGTAACACAGCGTGAACGTTGACAAATAATATTATAATGTCTATTAAAATACAAATTCAACGCCAGAGAACCAAAAGATTTAAGAAATTAAATTAAATTATTTAAAATTTTAAACACATATTAAAAGTTTTCTTAAAGAAAATTAAAATTGTTAATGACAGTCATTAAACTGATTATTTATCTTCAATACAAATTAATGTTTACCTTTTAGTTTAAGTTTAGTTCAAACGTTTTCATTAAGACAGACGGTGATTAAAAAGAATTTAAAATATACAAGACGGTGTTGTAGATGCTGGACTAATATAAATCTGTTAGGTCAAAATATTACATAGAATTTTGTATATTGTATTCTTGAAATAGTAAATGAATAATAAAAACCACTAATAATATATGCAATTAATAATTCAGCATCCATTTCGTTATTTTGTTTATTAAATTTAATAGAAGCGGCATATTTTTACAATGTAACAATAAATTACAGTTTACATAACAATAGCGCGAGTGAAAATTTGTAATTTAAAATTTTTACGACGTCATATATTCCATTATAAAAAATCTCAACTAGTTTTTGCCGCGTTTCTCTGGGCAGTAAATAACGCGAGCTCGGACGATAGACGTCCACCCTGAATAATTGTACGGTCCGCTACGAAAGTTGCAATAAATCGCGAAAATTCTGATCAATGTGGCTTATGTCGACGATACTACAAAAATGTCAATAGTATCGAAGTATTTCGATAATGTTTTATATTTAATTGAAGTAGTAAACAATGTTTATAGTATATGTATATTACAGCTGTCACCATTTATTAAACATAGGTACCAAATATAATAACAGATCATAGTTTGATTATATGAAGGCTCCAATGTGACAAATGTACCAATAAGAATCTCCAAAAGAAATTTAACTTCGAAGATTAAACTGACTGTATAAGTTAATTATATTTTATATTTCCATTAGGTTACACAATACAATGGATGATAGCGATAACGCTGGTGTCATCAGTCGCGTCAACAGACAAGCGGCCACATTTCACCATAGAACCTCCACCACGTGTGTTATGGCCGGCAACAAGAGGTGCCCACGCGTTGTGTCGAGCCTCTGGACATCCCACACCAGAAGTCCACTGGGTCACTGCTGAAGGTCAACTAATCACCACCATCCCTGGCCTAAGGTACGTTTTGATTGAAAGTATAATAATCATATGTAATTCAAAAATCCTGCTCACTACAGTGGAACCTTTTACTATTATGTATAAAAAATGTTCTTTCAATACTTCATACAATCATTCTGAAACGTATAAACAATTATTATATATGACAGTTATTGGTTCTTTCATTATTAATAATGTGTATGTGAGCTTCGACAATACTTGTGATTATTTTCGGCGACAAACTTTCGTTCTGTTTTATACATTTCTTAAAAGAAAGAGAAAAGTCAGCGTGGGATACACATTTGTCGCATGTCTGAAATAATAATAGAATCTAACGGTTATACAAAAAGGTTTCGACGAAATTTTTTGAAACTGTTTATTGCTGAAAATGAAATAGGTCATATTTTCATATCATAATGAAGAATCAGGTGAATTAATGTAATAATAATTTATGTGTATTCTTTGATAAGATTTTTGGTTTATATTTTAACATTAACGGAAAAAATACTTTTGTAGCAAAATATTTTTCGAGGTCGATCGTTGGTATTTTACAAATAAAAACAAACAATAGAAATTAAATTTTTGATTAAATAGAATGAATTCTCAGACGTCTTGTAACTAAAAAGAAACGGTAACTAATAAGTAATTAAAAAAAAAGTCAATTTTTATATATATAAACTTTTCGCAAGTAGTGCACAATCTTCTTCTTCTTCTACCTGGCAATTTCCCAGCTATAGCCAGGGTCTGCCTTACATGTTGTGAATAGTTTTGGCTATTTGTTTTTACGACCGGCCGCCTGCCTGACATCAACCCTCTTTTGAGAATCAACATTAATCAGTGATGTCTAAATAGTCTTAGAAAGTACATATGACTCGGAAAAATCACATTGGTACTTGCCCGGGCCAGGATTGAACCCGCGCCCCAGTGCATGAGAGGCGGGCCTTTTAACCACTAGGCCACCACTGAATATAAGTAGTGCAAGTAGTGCACAATGTATTTTTCAATATAAAATGTAATAAAAAAGTATATATCTATTTTTTATTAAATTTTTAGTATAAACAATACACACCAGGACTTTTACTTCTTTCAGTGTATTGTTCAATGTATATAGTGTCACTAAATGTCAACCATAATAACATAGCTATTCTATTATTAAACTAGATATATTCATTAATTATTATGGTCGAATACCGACCATTCGCCAATTTCCACTACGATGAAATTGACAACTCTTCTTTTTGAAAGTAACTGACAATAACTTTCCGCTGATGTTAGGCATTTGAACTTGTTTACACCGACTTGCAAAATATTACCAAAGTTTCAAAACTTTATGTATTTCACATGAAGTCTTCTCGGTGTAGAATCGACTTTTTTCAACTTGCTAACATTTTATAATGTTAAACTAATTTACAAGTTGGAATGTAAATTTTAAAACTTGTTGGAAATTCTTGAGAAATTTGGTAAGCACTTTAATTTCTGTATATTTAAAAGTAAATAATCTATTTTTATAACTATGTATACTAGCTGTGAGACCGCATCAAGATAGTACGATAAATGTATCATAAAGAAAAAAGTTTAATGTTCGTGGTACCTACATTTATTGAAATTATTATCATAAATCACGAACATGAACTCTATAATCAGATGACTATATCCATCGCCTTAATGTTATATCTCAACTATAAATAGACTTCGAACAAACTAATCTATGTCCCAAATGGTATATGAGGTCTAATTAATTCAAGTCTTAGCTCACCGATGGTAAATTGAGTTTGCGAAGACTCAGGTACATATTCATTAAATGACAAACGTTTTTGGGGTAAACTCAACCATTCTGAAACTTGGTTGCCAAGTGAAGAATTATCTATTTCGTTGAATATTATATATCTACATATGTTATGCCAACATTATTTAACTCTGAAGCAAGTTTATGATTTGCCAAATTGTAATTTCACTTAATAGTATTTGATCCATCTATAGTATTAGAAAAAGCTATTTAAATACATTTAAACAAATTTTTGAACAACTGCAATGTTAATAAGCAAAAGGGAAATGACTCTTTCGTCGATACAATATTGCACTCATAAAATTTGATTACTTTTTCAACGTCGGATCTATTATTATTTGAAACACAAATATAAATTTTCTGTGTCTATATTTGGTTTATTAATATTTTTACCTTTCCTTAAACATGAAAAGTATAATAAAAAACTAATTAGTAAACGTACGAAAAGCAATAACAAATTTAATCACATACTTCTTAAGTTATTTGCGACCTGATCTAAAACTTGGATCGAACTATTCAAAGTCCCAAATGATATGTGGAATAACTTCCAATTTCGTCGGCCGTTTCTAATAAATTGTGAAAGTTTTCGATTGAGTTACAACAAAAATGTGCATTAACGGGTCATGTCTTAGTTCCTTTAAACGAGAATAAAGTTTTTTGTAATATTTTCATTAACATTTCTTTTTACATATATTCTATCTGTCTGTCTGTATGTAAAAAAAACAAATGATCTCATAAATGATTTAGTGAAAGACATTTTATGAAATTTTAATACTTTCATAGGAATTTAACGCATACTAATCTAGAAATACAATGAAATATATGTATATTGTGTGTGTGTTTCACGTAATATTTTTATAAAAGATGTAAAATACCGCTATTTTATTAAAAATTTTAATGTTGGTAAGATTGGTTTTGTGATATAATCTCATACTGTTCTTTAGTTGGGTCTGTTAGATTTTTAAAATAAAAACTGTATTGCTAAGCCCATGGGAAGAATTTAAGGCTCTGTTTTCTTAAGGTGGCTTTAAGTAAACTGTGTCAGCACTACACCACACTGTTGACTCAGTAAACTTTAGACACCTTGCTTGAACACTTATATGTAAGAGCTATTATAACGCGCTTTCCGAACAATGTTTTGATTTAAGGGAAGAGGTTTAAAATTTATAACATCGATTTATTTTTCAGTTTAACAGCTCTTTCTTCGATATCTGTTAAAAGTATTTATTTCTTTAAATTATTTACCTAATGTGAACTAAGATAACTCTTTTTATAAAAATGTTACTTGTTGTAAATAAAATATTTTTCAGATTTTTGGCTCTGAACATTAAAAAAACATTCTTCAAAAATTTTAATTCAAGTGAATGGTACAAATTTTGAGAAAAATATTTTAATTATATCGCTACCTTCATTTCAAGTTCAATGTAGGTCGATTAATCGATTTGAATGCTGATTGTTTTTTTTTATATTTTTGGAAACAAATTTGAGTATTTTATTATTAGTTTAGATTTGATTAAGGTTTGATACTTTGATTAACTCAAAGAGTGACGTCATTGACAGATCCTTATTTCGTTCCTATTAATTGATTAAAAATTTGATTGTACCATTATATAACTAACGATTCAATGTGTTCATATTCATCTAAAATATATTTAATTAATTTGTCAGAAACAATTCATTAACAGATACAAAAGTGTTCATAATTTCAAGAACAGTGATAAAGTACTTTTGTATGATGAAGTATGAATGATTACAGAATGGAAGTGAACACGATTTTGAACCAAGATATACCAATTTGTGCCTTAAATAGATGTTTTCCAATATTTGTTGCTTAACCTTATGTTATGCCTTGAACAAACGATGTGATTAACGGTCTGACTTTATACACGTAAGAAGAAGCCTTTAGCTCAGCAGTGGGCATCAATAGACTGATGACATACATAGATGAATATGAAAATAGCCGTTTTTAAAGAAACGAAAAGTAAATAATATAGTTTACAATAATACATAGGTGTATTACTCCAATTTGCATTGAGTGAATTCCCATACGCAACTGTATTTGAAGTGATAAATTATAATACAGGATATTTTTGCTTTCACGTCATTCGTACCTCAAACGTTGATGTATAATATACGATGATTGAGTGTCTAGAGTTGTCGGCGCGAAACAGATATCCTGTCACGCTTTGTTAGACTGTGTGATCAAATATTCTATTATTATAATACCTCATACCAGGCCATGGCAGGACAGAAATAAAATTTATATATAGAGACAAACGAATGAATAGTACTGGCTTTTTATTTATATTATATATATGTATTGTTATGTGTTTTATTCGACTGTTAACTATTTTTCCTCGAATGTAGTGATTCATGGGATCAAAGTGAAATTTCAGCCTTATTGTAGCAATTTCGACAGTTTTGCTTAGTGATGAAAATGAACTTACATATGTATATTATTTCTTTTTTGTTGTATTATATTAACAATACGATTGAAATGTTAAAAGATATTTCGAGTATTTGGTGAAGATACAACCTGAGATATCTTTATAGTATGTAATTAAAAACTTACGAGTTACAAATCTATATACATATAGATGACGAAAAAATACATTTTTTTTAAATCATAATTGGATTAATGAATCTATTTAATAATTGTTTTTATTTTAATAATAATATTTATTTAAAGATATATAATTTCAGTGCGTGTGGGTAAATAATTTGATAAAAAAAAACCTCTCGACTATAATTTACGAATACAAATAGTAAAACTATCTTTAAAGATTTATAACTAGGCTATTTTTAAACAGGCTTTAGTTATATCACTTGGACTTTACACAGTTTATCTATGTATGAAACATTCAACACAGGTGTAAAATCAGAAACCAGATGTATTATAACCCAAAATATATGTTGTATGTAACAGCAAAAGGGTCTGGACTTTTATACTGGGCACTTACTACTTCAAAGATTGATCACCTAATATTCTTCAACGTCGTTTACTTACAAGCGAATCGACCCGAGAAAATATAAAAAATATGATTATATCAATTTAATTTAGAGGGATAATGGGATGTGATGTTTTTATAAAAATACAATTTTGTTGTTACGCAAAGAAGCCTTATTTTAAAAGTGAAAGGTTACGTTTATTGTGATTCTTCCATTTTATTAAAAGGCTGAGACTAAAGAATTTTTTGAACAATAGTCGTTTGTTCGATAAAATATTTAACGGTTCGCGGGTTCGTACAAGTTGGAAAATAATAGATTGAAAAAATATATTATATCGAAATCAAGTCTATACCATTTATAAATTGTAAAGATAATTATATCTTATGATGTACTTATGGAATAATACATAGGTTATTCCTTGTATGAAGTAAATTTAGAATCCAATTCTACAAATAATTAACCCATAACTCGATTCTAATGTCTTAATTTATAAATAATAAAGACATTATAGGCAATATTTTCTCGAATATAGCTTAGTTATTTTTTGTATTTCTGTATTATTCTTTAAGTCGACACAACGATTATGTATTGTGAGTGAGAGAAAGAAGTTATATTGTAATAAAAACAAGCAATTTCTCTTAAGTGTCTCCCATTCAGCCCATCTCCCTTAAGAACCATTTTAATTATTAAGGAAGGCAAAAGTACAATTATTATGTTATTTTCTTAATACCAAGAAATAATTTTTGGAATTAATCAAATTCGAAATACAAAAAGAATGTACATTTGTCATCTACTTAGTAGGTACGCTTGACAGTGGTTCTTAAAACGAAATGTTTGAATAGACATAATAATTGTATAGCCTGATTTTCTTTTCTAGAAGAAGATTACAGTGGAAAGTATTTATTTGTATGTATTTGATTAGTATATTGATTTCTCTTTGTGTTTAGGCACGTGCTGGCTGATGGTAGGCTAGTGGTAGGTGCTCGACGGTCACTTGTAGATGCCGGTGGTGGTGGTAGCAGTTCCTTATTACGATGCAGGGCTTCCAACAGAGCTGGTGTCACACTGTCCAGACCTATGTTACTACAAGCAGGTACTTTACATTTAATAGTATTGTATGACTGACTCTCTTATACCTTATATTTTAGGTTAACTTAAAACATTATTTTTAATTTGATGAATTCTTATTCAAGAATAAAAAACATGATTATAATTTTATTTCACATTTATTTTATTGTATACTTTTGATATACCTTTACAGTGCTCTTCCTAGACCAAAAATTTTCATTAGTTTTAGTGTCCGCTTTTTTTTAATAAAAAATATGAGAGGGGAAACAGGAATGCATTTGCTTATTTCATTAACGTAATGATAATCACCTAAAATAAAATAATAAACAACTGAACTGAGAGAGCTAAACAAATTAGAACTTCCCAGTTGAACCAATTAACTTTCTGTTACAGCAGAGAAAATATGAAATAAAATGAAAAACAGCCGAAGGCCCTCGGAGTTTTTACACGGAAAAACTTTTAATTAAGGGATTAAAAATGACATTAGAGAGAGTTTGAAACAAGCTAAGTTTTCCTTTGTTCGTGAGATATTTGGATAGCATTATGCAATAACAATATTGCTTAAACAGTTACTTGTCGTACATTTTTTCCATTTATAAATAAACTCAATATAATAGGAAGATAACAAATATAATTATTATTATTGAGGAAAGTGCTTTAATGACATCAATCGTACTACAGATAAAATAATAAGAGAATAAATAAAATAGGATCATTCCTAATTGATGATCTGTTCGCATGGGAACAATCGATATCACTTTGTCTATCAAAAACGTCACAAAACGTTGTGGCGGAAACCAATACGTTTATTTAATAATACAGAAATCTGAAAGTATGTAACATCTACAAGAGATTTAGTTTTTTATGAACTTATACTAGTAGTTCTATTAATATATAGTACAGTATTAAGTATAAACAAGTTTTAAATGCTGAAATCTTTATTATTATTTATCAAGCTTTCAGTTCAAAGTTACAACAAAGAAATCCTTAAACAATATTTTTGTTAAGAACAGGTAAATCAACATAATTATTTTCTAAAAGTAATTTAGCTATATGAGATAAAAAAGCGATGAATAGTATTAAATCTATTCTTTTTTCCTACTGGATATACATACTAATACATAATCTAAACTACAAACATTATTAGGTATGCCAGTACCAAATTCGCTCTTGGGGACATGACCAGCGAATTTTCTTCTGAGTACAGAACATATATGTATAAGTAAAAAAAACAACAGCAATAAACACACTAAATCTGTATAGAACATCTCCTCCACAACCAAATAATTTTTACCTCCCTAGTGGGTGGTTACAAAAGTATTCTTCGACCGTTTTCCTTAGACCCGAGTCCCAATTAATTATTTATTTTATCATAAACAAAGTAATAATTGAAAGCCAACAACCATAGAAAAGGCATTTCAATCTTTTCCTCATTCAAATGGATAATGAATAAAATATACATTACTTTGATGTTTTATTTTTGTCTTTTTTTATCAACATGTTTCTCATTGATTTGTGCAAGTTATAATTAATTATTACTTTGTTGCTATATGCTACTTTTTAAATGAGTAATAACTACTGAAAACCTTTTCAATAAACGAGAAGTTACAGTTATATTGAAACATAAAGAATATGAAAGCCAATTACAAAGCCAATAACAAGGCTTCAAAGAAACGAATTGTGAGCAATTACTTTTATATTCATAATTTCATTTCTCTTAATACGTTGTTTTCCTTTTCAGTGAAATTGTAATACTCATAAATCAGAGAGTATAAAACTTAGGAAACTTATTTGTTTCTTAGTAAAATAGAACGTTTTATATGTACTTACGTATATACGAATTATTTATAATTTTCAAACAAAATATATTTAGTGATAAATAAAAAAATATGTTTCTTTCATATGGACATTAAATATTCATTATACGTTAACAAGTGACGAGTGTGTTATTAAATAAATGATTTCAATAATTCCACTGAAAGGTCCGTTAAAATTTGTTCCAGAAACATGTTTAATTAATTTGCCAGTTAATTCATGTAACCACGTTATTACTTTGTGAATAAATTATGATGAAATGTTAATGGTTCGTTGTATTTTATAGTTTGCTTTGTAATATTATTTGCTGTGATTTGTTTATTATTGCAAAAACATCATAAATGACTTAATTGAATAACATTGATTTTTAATAACCAATCTACACTATAGAGTGATTAATTTAATCTTAAGAGTAGAAATATTGAGGGGCAAATTGAAATAAGCAATTTATAAGAATAACCCTATTTTTTTCATTTATAATTATTTCTGACAGTCATGATTAAATTATTGTTTATTATTTAATAGTGGAAGACAACGTGTTATCACATATTGTGAGACAGCTGATGCCAGCGAAGGTTGGAGGTGCTGTTTTGCTCCGTTGTGAACTGTCACCACAATTGGGGTTGGTAGACGTTACATGGCTTCAAGATGGTTTGCCATTATCATCAGGATATATGGGAGCCGGTCAGTTATATTACTATAAGCAAACTTTTAATATGAAATTATTAATTTGTTTTGAAGATTTTAGTTATAAAATCACTTTAGGATTATTTGTTTAAACTACATGTGAAATATAGATGTGCAAAAGCATGATTAAGGGAACAAAATTCATGAATAGAGCGGCATAATTCAGGAAACAGTTCAGCGATATTGCATATTTGGGTGATGTTGACAAAAACTATCGTTGCATTCTGCCACTGGTTGCATAGTTTATTGTTAATTGTAAGCAATTGTTCCAGATACACGGTGGGTGGCTGGGGCTGGCTTGTTACTTGGCTCGGATTTAACGCAAGCTGATATACAAGCGGAATATTCATGTTTGGCGCTTGATGTCCCTAGCCCGTCTTTGAAACTTACAACAGATGGTGAGCTTTATGAAGTCAGAAATTTATATATAAATTTAATATAAACCTTCCTTACTCTCAGGATCTAGAAATAAAAATAAAAAGGAAAATTCTTTTAATCCATTATCAAACAATTTTAATAAAACTCAATTAGGTTAAGTTCTACGATATCCACGTCTTCTGTAAAAGCTATTTATCTAACAACGGGAATGTAAAAATGATAGGGAAAAGTATCATAAAATAATAAGGGAATCTTAATTGTTATAAGTATCTTAATTTTCTTTGTCACAGATAGTAGTTGGCTGGAAAATATTGAAGTTAATTCTATTGAAGCTCGTATTGGAGATACAGTCTTAGTGCCGTGTATTTTAAGACATATCAATAAACATACTATTATGTAAGTATTAATTAATCTCTTTTTAAATTATGTTAATCCAAATAAAAACCTAGATATTTAAAGTTAAATCATAGTTGGCAGAGACAGGAAGCAAACGGTGTGTGGATAACCGCTACTGAGGGTGTTGTTCGTGGAGGTACACTTATTTTGCCCAATGTACGCGCTCACCATGCCGTACGATACGCTTGCTCAGCAGGCACTGAAACCTCACCTCGTGTTATTGTACGACTAGTTTTATACGAACCTTTAACAGTTTCAGTCACTCCTAATCCATTGGTAAAATATTTTTAAATGTATTTTACAAAATTCTTTTCCCATTATAAACTCCTACAGTATTCGTGGAAAACTTCTTGTAGATGCTCGGGACTGGTGGTAGCGGTAGTTTTAATTGCTCAGTTAATGGAGGCAGAGGTGGAGGGGTTACTATAAGCTGGCAACATGAAGGACGTCCTTTACACTCTCCTCAACCGCGACTAGCTTTAGGGCCAGTTCGCTTACACCACGTTGGGATGTACCAATGCACTGCGTTTGATCATTCGGATTCCGCTGTAGCTGGAGCTGAATTAGTTATAGCTGGTAATATTTCAAAGAATATATAATAATAATCATTACTAGAAGCTGTATTATTATTCTTTACATTCTTATATTATATACGTATTAATATCATTCTTGTTCACAAAATTATTTATGGTGAATAAATGTCCCTAACCTAACTTAACTATATTTTAGACAGACCACCCAGATTGGTATCTGCATTTAGTGAAGCAATAACGCGCATAGGTCAAACAATCGCATTTAGATGTGCAGCGACGGGAATTCCGCCACCGAGAATTTTGTGGACTTTAGACAATAGACCGTTGCCAGCAGCACCCGAAAAGTAAGACATTAGTACTTGTAGGAACGTTTATTGTCAATTATTATATAATAAAAATATTTATAATAACTATAGGTATAGTGTCAATACTAGAGCTGAAACAGTACCTGGAGGAGAAGAGGGAATGATAGTATCTACTTTGAGTATAACTATCAGAAGTGCTGATGAAGGCGGTAGATATGGATGTAATGCGTCTAATTCTGGAGGATTTCAGGCACATCATGCTCGACTCAACGTTTTTGGTAACCATCAGTACGCCACATAAACAAATTTTGTAGTCATATTTTATTAGTGTATCTATAATGAATATACCGATTATTGTTTCTCTAGGCCCACCGAATATACGATATTTACCTCCAATGCACATCAAAACTGATAGCGATGTAACTTTATACTGTCCTTATTCGGGTTATCCTTTAAAGTAAGTTTCTTCTAGTCATGATATTTCATTGTGTTTTAACAAAACAATAAAAAATTGTTTTCGTAATCAGAGAGGTAGTTTGGCGTCGTGAAGATGGTTCTTTATTGGATGGTCCTATTGAAAGCAACGATGAGAAAGGCATGTTGAGATTAACCTCAGTTAGAAACGCAGTATCAGGAAGTTATACTTGCGAAGTTAGAGCTGAAAGTGGAGAACTTGCAAGAAGAACTGTTAGAATTGAAGTACATAGTAAGAAATTTATTATGTAAATCACATTTACACAAATGTGTAAAACAAAGAATTAAAATGGTAAAATGGTAAGTTTTTTTGCAGAACCTCCTAAAATAGCGCCGTTTCAGTTCCCAGAAGAATTAGAGGTTGGAGGTAGTACACAGGCTACTTGCAGTTTGGTGTCTGGAGATAAACCGATTCAGTTTTCTTGGCATAAAGATAATTTACCTATTCCGTCAACATTGAAGGTATGTAAATTGTTAAATAAAATAAATATTAGTTTGAACCCAATAAAATATTATAAATCTTTTTTGTAGGTTGAACAAAAAAATATGGACTTTTTTACAATATTAGTCATCCAAGACCTAAATTCAATGCATAGCGGAGAATACTCATGCAAAGCCACAAACGACTTTGGTTCTGTAAGCCATAGCGCATCTTTGATAGTTAAAGGTACTTATTTACATAATTAAAGTTATACTGAACTTAATAACACAAACTCTAATTGAAAATTATCAATAAGACTGGATAGCTTAATAAATAAAGTAGTTTCTCCGCTTAGAACCTCCGACTTGGGTTTGGCGACCTCAGAATACTTCGGTGTCCGCCGGTGCAGCCGTTCTTCTCCCTTGTTCAGCTAAAGGACAACCAATGCCTAGAATATCTTGGGAATTCACCACAGGTAGGTCTTCATTTACATCTAAGGTCATGGTAAATAAAATAAAAGTTACAATTTCTATCTATCCATAATTTCTTCAACAGAGGGAGAAAACTGGCGTCATATTCTTTGGAGTCAAAGTGAATCGGCAACTGCCAGCGAGGGTTCTATTTTATCAGATGGTACTGTGTGGTTAAGAGCAGCGACACCAGAACATGAGGGCTGGTATCGTTGCACAGCTCGTGTCCAGCATTCATTTCTTCATCATTCCTTTTTTCTTGACGTTAGGGGTATGTATTCTATCTTTGATAACTTACAAACAAGTAATCATTTATAATAATTTATTTATTCAAATAATAATATCTTGACAGTTAAGGACTTACGATTTATATTAAATTATGAAATATATTTTATGCAATATATTATTGATAACACACTTACGAAATTACATATTTTTATGTTTAATATATCATTTAGTTCTTATATATAAATAGTTTAAAAAATGCACGTACATAAATTATTATACATAGCACGATAATCTAAATATAATTTATTTAGAACCCCCAAAACTGACAAGAGGGGGTGCGGGAGAAACGAGATGGGTCGTTCGTGGTTCAACCGCAAGACTCACTTGCACTGTGCGCGGAGAGCCAGAAATACATGTCCATTGGACTCATGATTCCAGGCCACTTACGTTACAGTATGTTTTGTTTTATTCTACTCTATTTTTAAGATAATTTACATGTTGTTGTCATTTTACTTAACTGTTTCCAGTTTGACTTTTAAAATAAAACTGCTTATCCTGAATCCAATAATATTATTTTTTTCAGTCTTTTTCATATTTAAAGCGACAAGTTTTTAATTTAAGACAAAATCCTATTAGTACTAAAAAGATTGGTCATAATAAAATAGATCACTGGAATAGAATATGTAAATTTGAATATGTAAATATTATAATTCAGTTAAAATGCTACCGATTACTTATTAAATCAGAGAGGAAGCTAAATGTGTAAGCTGTCAGAGAGACAGCGATGGACTAATTCGTTGTTAATCTGATAAATACCAGTGTTTAGTATGAAAACGTTTACATCATACGTTTAGTCGACACCTGTCCGTGCAGTTTCATTGTACGTTGTATTTGCATTTTCCTTTTCATAACGGTGTGGGAGGGGGATAAGAAAATAAATGTATGAATGTGATACAAATCGCAGAATACCATAGAGATCGTTGGTTTGACAAACATTATAGTTAACTTAATAATTCTGTAATATTTATGTCACAAATGTTTATGTTATATATTTTTATAATAGCGGTTCAGGAGGGGTTGAAATGAGAGATCTAGGAAATGGTGCAATGACTTCGGAAATAACCATAACTCATGCGGGTCCGGAACATGCAGGCGATTATCGATGCATGGCGAGGAATCTTTATGGAACTGACGAGCTGCTATTCAGGCTTTTTGTAAAAGGTGATGATTTATTAGCTTTATAAATTAATTTTCTGCATATAACTGTAAATTATACTAATTATTTCTCTGAATAGAGAGACCAAATACGCCAGAAGAGGTGCGAATATCAGAGGTATGGTCGCGTAAAGCTCGGGTTACATGGCGAGTCGCTCGGGGGGCGTTTGTATCACACTATTCACTACAATACCGACCGCTCTCGATGGATCTTACGAACGCCCCGCTTAATGCTCCACTCCCCACTTTGCTAGACACCTGGGAATCATCAGAAGTTCTCAACATGACACTCGCTAATTCAGACTTACTTCATATCGCGTAAGTACCTATTTTATTTTGTTCTTAAAGCTTAAAAGTCTTAAATACTTATTGATGTTTCTGTTGATTGTAGAAAATAATGAAATGGCAGTATAATTTTTTTCGCAAATTAAATCAACATCACAAATTTATTTTTAGTCTATGTTTACGAACCACAAACTTCAATATGTGTATAAAAACTATAGTGCAGTGCAGTAGTTGCCACTTCAAAGAATATGTTATGTTTATCCAGCTGTCCTTACATACTTTTCTGTATTTAGTAAGACTTTTTTTTATTATAAAACAGAACTGAAGGTCCAAATCGAGCCGGTGCATCGCTAGGGGGTCTTTCTCCTGATACGCGCTATGTCTTAAGACTGGCTGCGTATAACGATGTTGGAGCGTCCTCATACACACAGCCCCTTCATTTCACTACACGCGAAGAAGGTAATAACATATAATATTTAGTGATTGTTTAAATGTATTTAGTATTAAAATTAAATGTAATTAACTTTAAAATTTAATTAATTTTCCAAACAAAATGAATTAAATTTTGCGAGCAGCTCTGCTTAGTGGAAAAATTTACCTTCGCTTTCCCAACCCATAAAATCAAATCTCATCATATTCGGTCCGATAGACATGAAGTTACTTTAGCATTTATAATAACACAAGGGAATATTATTATAATTGGAAACGATTCAAATAACATTAGTACATACTTTTCTTTTGTATACTTACCAGCGAATTAATTTAAACATTTAAAAGCAATCGTACTCAATTTAGCCTGTATATCAAATAACTTTCTGTTATAAGAATACCGCATAGCATCTATTATTAAACATAGCGAGACGCAATGGCCGTATAAAATATAAAAGCTAATTCCATATTCATTAGCGCCCGGAGGAGTTCCCCGTGACATCACGGTACGTGCGCTTCGAGCGAGAGAGCTTCAAGTCACGTGGCAGGTTAGTGGATAAAGGATTATTTAAAGTACCTTCTACAATGTTTTAAATAATAGGTAGCTTAAAAGGGGTGTTATTTTAATGTAAGAGTACTTTAACGTGAACTTTCTATGTACTTTATTTCGGAACCAGCCCATTAAGTAAAAAGTGTCGTGAAATATTATTATAACGTTTTTATTAAATGGTAGATATACTTTTTTATTTACATTTGTTGAATATAAAGTTTTTTATTTAAAAGTGTATTATAATGTAAGGAATAAACTATATGTTCATTAACAATGTTCTTTTAAAAATTTATGATAATTCATAAAATATTCACACACTTTTGTATCACTGAATATTTCAGTTCTTGTAAGATTAAATTTTTATGTAATGCTATTATGCATGACTTTATCAAAATGAATCTCTTACAGCCACCGCCAAGAGAAACTTGGCATGGTACTCTCTTAGGATATACGATTCGTTGGTGGGAAGCTTCTGAAGAAGGCAAGGGCGCTAGTGATACAGGTTCTGAGAGTGGAGCTAGCGCTGATGCCACAAGCACTACTCTCAGGGGTCTTAAATCGGCTACTAGATATGGGGTCACCATAAGGACGTACAACGCTGCCGGAACTGGTCCATTATCTCCGCCCCATTACCGACACACACTGGAATCACGTGAGTTATCTTTAGTCAGTGCCAAGTCTGTGCATACTATGATTAAACTGGCAGAATATGCTGTGCACGTCTTTGCACGGATAAATGCCATATTTAAAACAACTTAACCTAAACTATGATTAAATAAATATAAGCTGTTTTTTTATAGGACCTAATAGGACCTAAATAAATATAATTCATGTACGTTTGCTTATAACGTCATTGGTATCAACTAAAGCAAGAAAATTGTAACTGTTTGTTTATATGTATAATTTGTGTTCGAAACGTTTTAATTTGTTCGATTGCAATTTTTGTCATTAATATCTTTAAATTTTAAACAATAAATTGAGGAATATCCATGTCACTTGTATTTAATAAAATTAATATATGTAAATGTATCAATTAAAAAATCTCGACAAGATATTAATGTTGCTACTAAAATATGAACTAGGAATATTATAATAATTCCATTTTTAGACTGTTAAGAAAGTGAGAGCAGATTTTACTGGTTTTGGATTTTTATATACTTTATTTGGAAGTTGAATGACAGAATGACTAGCTTGACTGTTTACTTATAATAAAAACGTCTAAAAACAATTCTTCAAATAAATATATACTTTATTTTTTGCCAAAATAATTAACCCACTGTATCAATTGTCACTTTTGTAGTTATTAGAAAGTGGAAGTTGAATTTAAAGTTATCTAATATGCAACAATCAAATATTAAATCATGTAGTTATGATATAAGGCCCCACTTTTTATATGTATCCGTATGATTTTGATTTGATTTGCTTAGAGTGCCATATAGTCTCATAACGAAAGTCATTAAAATTGTCGTACACGAAGGATCCTGTTTTCATAAACAAAAATATCATTTGCGAGTCCCAAAAATGTTAGACGAACTTTTAATGGGAAAGGAAAAAAACGAGCTCGGGAACAAGACTCATTTGAATATGTAAATATGTATATGTACTTTGGAAGTCCAATAAAGGCAACCACAGGCACTCATAAGTTTTGTCACTGCGGCGTATATATTCAAAAGCGGCCATCGTAAATTTTCCTATCAAAATGCAAAATGGCTTAATTGAGCCGTGGCCTTGTTCCAGGTCAAACGGTTCGGAACAAATTGATAGCATTTTTATACGTTTATATCTGGCTTTTGGGGTAAATGCTTTGTCTAGAATTATTATCTACGTTGGTTTAAACTGGGTTTTTGGATCTCATGTTTTGTCAGTGTAAAATAAAACAGACATTGATTGATAATTCTATTTTTGATTAATATTTTATTTTACTACTCAAATAGAACTGGTCAAGAATGTTTTGTCTTAGTAAGGAATAATAAATTATAATTAACTCATAAAAAACGTATTCAGACTCTTTGTAAAATATTATATTACTTTTCTTTAGAAACAACAATTACAACTTCTAAGCAAACTGCATTTTAAAGAAGTTGACAAAATGTTCTATTTAATTACTTTGTAGCTGAGGTAAAAGTTTTGCAAAGCAACTGCAAGTACAAGTAGATTCAGTAGCTTTAGCAATCCATACAAAGTCTGCTAAAAAGCTGACTGCATTTTTTTACGATAATGACTTTGCTCGGAATAACAAGAGAAATATGAATAGAGGCTTAACATTAACAACCGGCAAGATTTGAGCATTGCGACGAAATTCATACAAAGCTGTGTAATTTAAGATTACATCCAGTGCCGAAATAAAAGATTTTAATATAAAATTTTACAAATTAAACATTCATATAACGGGAGTTTTTAAATGCTTTTAACTTATAATATTTATTCACCTTTCATACTACCGATTACAACTATGATATTGTAAACAATTTTATATATTTCTTGAATTGTTATTTACTTTTAACACAAAAAAAATCTTTTTTGGTATTATTTTTTATTTTATTACAATTATGTTAGTATTTTTTACATTTTAGTCTAAGTTTTCACAGTGTCTCATAAACATGGAATTCATCGTCGTTTACTCACAATTACATTGACATTTCAATACATTTATATTTTGTACTTAATGTATTAAACAATAAAAGACATCAAGCCAATAATATAATGATACGAGTATGACAAAATAGAGTAATAAAATTAACTAAAGATATAAAAATAATATAAAGTGCATAGTCTAATAATCTAACAAATAAGTAACATATATGCAAGGTAAATATAACCTGATTATTATTTTTCAATATAAAACTGTGAATGGAATTATTTCTTGTTAGCTCCAACCGGCGGCCCAGAAGATGTAACCTGCACATCCAGTAGTTCAACGTCACTTCGCGTTTCATGGCGACCTCCAAATATTGATGTTAGAGGGGGACAAATTACACATTACACGTTACAATACACAAGAAGAGACTCTGATCCATTGCTACCGACCCAGGATGCTCATTTGAGAGTACAAGTAAGTTTGACCTGAGTTAATAAAAGATCTCATACAATAATTGTAAATTTTTATATTCTATATATATTTATTAGTATATTTGGATTTTTTAAGTCAATCAAATGACGATGTGAAGAATTATGTACAAATGATATCAAAATAATATAACGCTAAAATGTTATGCTATGTACCAACATTTTTCATTATATACTATATGAATGAAATATGAATTTTAAATGTTCAATATAAAATAAGAGACTATTAGAGTGTTTCAAACTCGTTTACTGAACTAGGGCGAGGACACAACAATATCTCGTTTGACATCATACGCTGAGTATGAAATACGAGTTCGAGCTCACAACGCTGCTGGAGATGGTCCTCTCTCCGCTCCGAAAGTTTGTAAGACCGATGAAGATGGTAAGCAAAAAAGATAAGACATGTATACATTAAGTTAAATATGATGTTTTTGTTCGTTACTTTTTTCCGCTTTATTTGATTAAATAATTTAAATTGATAAAAGGCATTTTCGCTCAATTAACATCTTTCGAATAGTGTAAGAGTATCACGTGTTGTAAAAAATTAAGTACTTTTCAATTTCAGTCTATTATTTCTCGATTAGGTACCTCTCGCGTGCCAGTAATAGTTAAATAAAATGAATACGTTGAGAGTAGTTTACATTTAATAAGACTTTCAGTTATTTAATATGAACTCAACATACACGATGTTTTAGTGCCAAGTGCGCCCGGGGGCATGAAATTGATTGCTCTCAGTGAACGGTCACTCAGGGCATCCTGGCTGCCACCACTGGAGCCAAACGGAAAGCTCACCCATTATTCGCTTTACGTCAAAGATCTATCAGGGTACGTGAAATATATCGTTCTGTGTTGTCGGACGCAGTCATTAATTCAGTTTTTTTAATCTTTCACAAGGCTATCTGTATTTTCAATGGCCCATTTTAAAATATGAAAATTTATTTCACAGATTTATCATTTAGCATACAATGTATAATATTGCTACTTATTAATTAAAAAATGACACATGCTCATTAAATAGTCATTATTTCTACAAAAATAATAAAAAATTACTAGGACTCAAGAAGCCAACGTGACACGTGTGAACGCATGCACAGAGGGAGACAATATGGTAGAATGTATGAAATCCCTACGTGGTTTACGCGCCGGAAGAACTTATGAGGCCTGGGTTAGAGCTGCTACAAGTGTTGGCGAAGGACCCCCATCGTCTGTTATTGCTTGTCAAACTAGTGCTCTAGGTATTAAACTTCAGAAATAACATATTGAAAATATCTCTGTAAAAGTATTTTTCATTTCAGTTTTTTATTTTTAAGAAAGAGAAATAAAATTAAATTTCTTATAATATATAGAATAAAAAAAGTATTATATATGTAATATGATGTCTCAGAATTATGACATTATGAAAAATTTGTAGCTCCAGCCCGGATATCGTCATTTGGGGGTATTGCAGTCGGAGCAGCTGGTACGTCATTATCTCTTCGTTGTGTTGTTGGAGGAGTTCCTCCACCCGCTAAACGATGGTTGAGAGGTGGCAATCCATTACATCCTCGAAACCCCTTTCATTTGGATGGCGATGCCCTATTAATACGAAGTAGGGAACTATACATATCAAATATATGTGTTGCTTATCTCTCTTTGTTTAACAGTTTAAAATTATAATCCTCACTATTATAGCATTGGAACTATCACATGCAGACAACTATACATGTGTGGCAGAAAATCCACATGGTTCAGATTCTGTCACTTGGAGACTATATGTTTTACGACCACCGACCCCTCCAGGTTTAGCTTTGTTAGAAGCTAAATCAAGGGAATTGGAATTAGATCTTCGACCGGCTCCTAAACTTCAAGGTCATGCCTTATCAAAAGCATACACGCTACATTGGCGACTGTCTGCACCAGAGGTATATTAATTTTCCTCTTTTCTGTGTTTAATTATATCTTATTCGACTTATTGCAATTTTTTTTCCTTCCGATGTTCAATTTATACGTTTTAGGGTGAGTGGCGTGTGCAATCTGCAAGTCCCGGACCGGTAATATTGACAGGACTTAGATGTGGCTCGGCGTACAGAGCATATGGGTCTGCTGGTGGAGCACCGGGTGCTGAAATATCAATTCGAACTTCTGGGGGTCCTCCTACTGCACCACCAGATACAAGATGGATTAGAACGAATGCGACTCATGCTAGATTTGATACAAGTACTTGGTCTGATGGTGGCTGTGGACCAGTTACTTTGAAACTGGAATGGGCTGGTTCGGGAATTACTGGTGCTAGAGACGTACCGGTTGGAGGAGAAGTAATTTTAGGAGGTAAATAACTGTTAATGTATAATTCTCAATGCTGTACTTCTCGAGATATTCTCTGTTATATAAAGTAACGTGTGCAAATACTAGGTTTGACTCCGGGATCAAGATATCGGGTCGCTGCTCGGGCATCAAATGAAGCTGGATGGACTAGAGAAGTGTATGAATTCACAACTACACCAGCTGAGGGTAGTTATTCCGAGGAAGTGGATGCTCCTTTTCCTGCAACTGCAGGCGAGCTAGCTTTGTTGTTAGCTCTTTGCGCAGCGTTATCTCTAGCAGCGCTTACTATATTAGCAATTCTTTTAAGGAGAAAAAGGTAAGTAGTATGAACACAAAAAAGTATAAGATTATTAAATTTTAATCCGTCAATTAGTTTATATAAAGTGATGTATAGTTAAACTTGTTTCTATGTATATAGTTAACAAACTTAATTATTTCGAGACCTTTATAAATATTAGAAGCTCAAATAATTGCAACATTATTTTCAACAAAACAAAAACCATCATCGACGATGAAAAGTCAAAAAAATGGTAACTACAAATTTTAAATCGATTTTTAATCCTATACTACCACTTTTATCAAATAAACATTTAAGAATAGCACTTCAAAATTCGTTAGAAAATTCGATTCTTATTTTGATCCCTTATTTTTCCATTAGTGTATTATTAAAATTGTCTGCTTACAAAGGCATCCGTCGAAAAGTCTACAAAAATGTAAATGTAAGTAATTGAAATGAAGCCAGCCAAAATTATGCTGAAGTAACGCTTTTTTCGTGAGTGTTATTACGTTTCGTGTCGAATAGTAACGAGGAGATAACGGAGACTTTTATCGAGCGTGGAAAGTAATGATGTCAGTTTTAGTGAAAAAAATATATATATTCGTGTGTGTATATATCTTTTTTTTGTCAAATGGGTTTAAATTTCAAAATATTTAAATACATAAGTCACGTCAGCCTAGAAAGATTACTTTCTTTTATTAAGTTATGCAAAATTTTATTTAATTATGCCTACCAGTAACCCTATGACTCATTCATTGCAAAAATTATGTATTGTTAATAAGCATAATTAAAATTATCTCAAAAGTTATAAAGATTACAGCTTTAAATTCAATGGGACGTCTACCCATTAATCAGATTAAAACTCTTAATCATTATATCAATTTCTAAAGGAAGGATCTTCTCACAAGATATTTTATAATACATAGAACGTTATAAATGAAGTATTATGTTAGTATTCATTATGAAAGACTTTAAGCAAGCAGTGTATTGATTATCTCGTTTTAGCAAAAAAAAAATAAGTTTGATAGGAATTTCACTCTGAAATTGACTGGCTTTAAACATATAACACATTTTCTTCTGTCGTATTAAGTATGCATGAAAGAACTAATGTGGCTGTTCAGTTTGACTAAATATGCCTATATTTATTGATAATAACATTTTTATCAAAGTTATTCTGTTCTGCTGAGTTCGAAAAGCTGTTAAACTTTAAAATAAAACATTATAACTCTGTTATCTGCGATTTTAAGACTTGGTGATTCTAATATGTTCTCATCCTAAGTTAGAATGTTAATACTTACCTTCAGAGGTGAAGGTGCAGTTGCTCGTGTAATCACCAGTGACAAACCAGGTTGTGGTACATACAGACCTCCCCCTCATCCAACACCTAAGCTACCTCCTGACCCACCAGGTATTATATAATTAGGATTACAATTACACCTATTTTATTCGATTTAAATATTACAAATGTATTATTGGATCTTTTACCTAAATATTCATTATGAAACAGATGTGTATGAAATCAGTCCTTACGCGACGTTTGCGGGTGGTGACGGTTTAGGTGTGGGTAGCGGTTCGCGGGCATATACACTACAACTTCGTGCTTTAGCGCGACACGAAGACGATGCAGCTCCACCTACCCATCCATCGTGTTGTGATGGTAAGAATTAATAACTAAGGAATGCTTTCTTAAATTAGTTTTCCTCACATGCTATGATGATTATACTTAAACGAAACTAATATTTTCGTATTACTATGAGATCAAAGATAGACGTGATCATAGTTGCTACAAAATAACCGAAACTTCAGGAGTAGTTTTAAAAATAATAAAATAGCGCGTAGTAATCTGAAAATATTAGTTTCATTTAAATTAATACTCGCGATAGTCTGAGCTCTTATTATGACAGGACTTAGTATCTTTCCCTGATTATTTATTTCAATTGTACTAATTACTCCCATGCCATCATTATCGTATTATTTTTTGTATTATTAGAATAATATCTAAAGTGATACAATCGTAATATTAATTTTATTCTAGACACGTTGTCAAGTAAAATTATACCACTACTCCAAACACCTTTCTTGTATTAAGGGTGAATAATTATAATATTTTTTTCTAACAGAAGAGACCTGTTTAGATGCCTGTGAGGCTCAACGACGACGAAGAAGAAGACGTCACTACTGTCAAGATCATGGTACAAGGACTTTTAATTAATAATAAAATTATCACAACTTTTCTTTTTACCCTATTTTATAAGTCATTGAAATTTTATGAATCGTTTGAATTAAATAGACTTTCAGTTAAAAAAGAGACTCAATTAATTAGTCAAGGGTCTATATTAAATAAAGAAAGATAGATGAAGACAATTCTTTTCATTGACTTTATCCAAGGAGATAAATTAAAGGTTTCGTATTAAATATATATATGTATATGAATATGAATTTTTGTTCTCCTACAGGTTGCTCACAAGACTCAGGGAGTTGAAGGGACACTGCCAAAAAATTAGTAAATAATCTTGTCTATGTATTAGTAAATTCTGTTATACATATTAATATGTATACAAAAATTTTTACAATAATATTGTCTATTTATACATTAGTATTTTTATTTTCCAACACCCTATTGAAGAGTAATTACCAAACTTAAAGAAAAACCACAAACTTTACATACTGTTAGGAATAAACACAGAAACTGTTGTTCCAAACTTATACCTTATAAATTGTTTTTCTTTTCATGATCTCACTTTTTACTTTTCGACAAAAACTTGTCCTTGAATATTTATAATATATAGATTTATTAGCTAATATTTATAATTATATAATACACAAGAAAATCTTTCATTTATCTTTGTTTAATAAAGATGTCCAATTCAACTACATACCACTTTTTATTTTATGGATTTTCTACACAACGAAGTAGCAAAATTGAGATTATGATGAAAAGTTTATTTCAGAGCTGACTTTATACTAAGATACGAATAAACTAATTAAGAATTAGAGTCAAATCCTGTCATAATGATTTTTTTTCGAACTCGAATTTAAATACACTAGAAGATACTTACCCTCGAATGATAAAAAGGATTTTGTAAATAATATGTATACCACATATAGACAATGATATTATTGAAAAGAAAAAAATAAAATTATACGTTATCAAACTCTAAATAGATGGTTAACAAAAATTGTCGGTATATTTAATATTCCACAGAGTTTTACTCTACTTTACTAATTACTTGGAAATTCGTAAAGCAAATTAAACAGTAATTTATCATTACTTCGCTCCATTGCTAATGCAAATCAATGTTGATGGCTAAATATGGTAAGTATTTTTATCTTTATAGAAAACATTTGGAGTTCTAACTATGTTTTAGATAATTTGCCATAATGCTTATTAAATTAAAATCCCAAAAAAAAAATTTAAAGGTTTTTTATTGTCGAGTACTATTGCTTAAAGAGAAGCTATTCAAAATGTCTGTGGTAAAAATAGTGTAATATTTTTACGTAGTTTTGATGGAGTAAGTAGGAAAGTAATTTGTTTTACTAATTGGATTGTAGGGCAGTTGTAGCAAATGTACTTGAATGTTCTAATTAATTAACATTTACAGCAAAGGGAACTTGATATAGATTATTTGACTATATCTAGACAGATAGGACGACTAATGGTTCAAAATAAAGTGATGAGAAATATCGAAGACCTCTTCAGAACGTGTGTTATAACGTTTTTAAATAATATAGTTTAAAAAAGTAAAATTGCAAGTTGCTGTTAAAGCGTTTCCGTCGTAACATCGGTTGATGTCTATTGGAGTAAGCGAAAAAGGACAATGCTATTATGATGCTTTAGTCTCTAATCCAGTCTGAGAGCCGACACAGACCAATTAGATTGTAATAGGATTACCGCATTAATGGAACTCGAGAATTAAATCAATGGGATCTGTTATTTCCTGTATTTACTAGTCTTATAGAAGAAGTAGACTAGTTTCTCATATATATTTACATGATTATGGAAAGTTATTATAATTTATAAGTACACTTTTAATTAGAAGCTAGTCAGTTTTAATAAAGAATCCTTTAATGAAATGGAGAAATAAAAATTTTGATCATTAAAAATGATAACGATTTCAAATACAAGTTTGAAGAGTTTGTATCTGGTTCGTAAAATAAAGGCGTTGAGTGACTCGATGCAAATATGACAAGTTACTATATTACTATTTAGTTTAAAGTCAAAAACCTAGAACATTAATTTTAAATATAAATTACATATCAAATAAAGCCGCGTGTGCAGAAACTGTTCTCGGAGCCTATTAAATTGAGAACATATTAAATGGCTGCAACATGTGGCCGAGCACTAAAAGTATTACATAAATTGCGCACTGCAGTGTTTTCTGCTTATCACGGTACCAGTTAAGAAAAAAAATGTTATATGTGCTTTATATTCTAAAATTAGTACGCTGTTATGGACAGATGAATAGACTCAAGCGATTTGTATAAATTTGGAGCTTTATTTCACTATCTGTTCTTTCAGATAATGTTTTATATTTTTTCATATTATTGTTAAATAAAGACGAATATTTATATTTATTTATTGAATGTTACTGTTATTTGTATGCAAATTAAAATCATTTAAATATTTTAAATATGAAATGTATGGAAATAGTCATTGTTTACAACGTATATATTTTCATTTTAATAATTTTTTGCTGCTTCCAAAACAAATTGGATTTAAATCCCGCTTTTAAACCAAAGTTATGATATTTTTTTTACCAAATTTTCTATTATATTTACAACTACTATGTTGTGTATTTCTTTAGTATGTAACATATGGCTGGTTACAGAAGGGATTTCGATCAGCTTATTTAGGTTTTTCATTAACTGCATCTGCTTACCATAAAAATGAAATACAAACTTCTCGATCCTAACAAACGGACCTAAAAGTTCACCGAATCCAGATGGAACTTCCAAACGAGTTTCTGTAAGTATATTACGGTACATAACACGTTTGTATGCAAATTTTATTCCTAAAATCCAGCTTGATGGAAAACGGTCCCAAGTATTATCGGGCCAACCCAAGAAAGTTTTGGGTCGAGTTGATATCACTTTCATTCAGAAATATATATCATATCGGCGAGCTTATCAGATATTTGTGTATGACTCTTCAAACTGCGAAAATAACTTGAAAATATTTATATACTTCAGGAAATAATGTAATTTACAAACATACAAGAACAAAGTTTGTTTTTGATTAATTGGGTGAACACTTATCGAAGGTCTACGTAAAAGAAAATGTATTTTGAAATTTCACTTTTACTCCAAATTTAAATTTATATTTATTAATACACTAGGGAAACTAAAATAAAAGTGTTATATTATATTGAATGGTGATTGACATTAAATTTAAATCAGTATGGTCAATATTCATTCATTCGAAGACCAAAACTAAACTGTGAAAGTATTGAATATGATTATTTACAATACTACTTTCAATCATTATTTACTTTATCAAGAAAATGGGCTTAGTTATAATTTTATATTGCAAAACTAGAGAAATAATTATAAATGATTTATAATAAGATAAAATTTAAGCATGTGTGAGAAATAAGACGTAAACGTATATTTGTAGATTTTTTTTTATTAATACGAAATAAAGAACAAAAATTAATTACTAAAGGTTTATTAAATAAACAATAACACAAGTCTGCATTAGAACTTTGATACATTTCTTTTATCTTACTGAAGATAAGAACATTAATTTTAAATAATGTAAATAAAAATTACAATAAATTATATTCGCGTAAATAATATTTGTGCCCTCTCTGCTATAATCCTTTGAGCGTCCGGGAAGTATGGTAATAAATTTATCCAGGAATCCAGGCTCAACGTTAATATGCTGACCTACAAATGAATAATGAGATAAAGTTACGGGAGATTATCAATATTCATAGTAATATGTCAAATCTCATATATATTATTCAAGTTAGTGAAACTAGTCTAATGGCTTACTGATATATTTTATTGAATATTTTTCAACTTTATTGACATTTATACATATATAGTAACATTATCTTTTACAGTTTCGCTGATATAAAATATAGGTGGAACGCAAACATATTTTTTTTATTGACTAGATCAAAAGAAAAAAGTACGCTCGAACGGTTTTAGTATTCCGAGCACGTCTCAGTTACCTAGGAACAGTTTTATGCTTCCCACAACATCTGTTCGTACTTTCGCATCATTAGAAATAAAAGAGTTTTGAAGAAGCCTTTGTAACGTTTGCTCAATCTAATCATCTTGTTACAATTGTATAATAGGAACAAGAGATGTAATTTTAAAAATATTATCAGATACTCGAGATCGGTTTTAAAAAGGAAACAATTTATTATTATTCGCTTTCCACTAGTTCAAATATTGAAGTTAACGAAATAAAAACATTATAGCAACATTTTTTATAACCTTGGTTTGAGCTCTGTAGGAAAAGCAGTGAGTAATTCCCCGATTCAAACCCTGGAGTATTCCAAACACGTCTCCAACATTTAAAATCTCATGTGTAGTTTCGGTTAAGTCAGATTTTACGGACACCACGGACACTGTTCCTGATGCTACCCAATGCATTCTGGCTTCACTATCCCCTGCTACTACTATGTAGTTTCCTAAAATATAAACAAAGACACATAATACACACACACACACACACACACACACACACACACACACACACACACACACACACACACATATGTATGTATGTATTATATCGTGACGATATAAAAATATACATTAAGCTTTAAGGGTAATCCCCTGCACATAAAAATTAGAATTTATTATTAATATTTACTAATTATTGAATGTTACTTTAAAGTCTGCAAATAAAAGAAGAAAAGCGAACGGGATAATTTTATGCTAGCTTCGATATGAACTTCTATAGAGAAATTCTGCATGGTATAAATGTAAGAAAAAAGAATATCATAAATACCAGTGCAAATTACATTCATTAATAGATACTAAAGATACATATAACTATATTCTCTATACAAATATACTTTTGAAATGAGTTCATCTAAAACATTATTAATATAAACTAAAATCCACTATAAGGTGAAGTTGGCGAAATCAAGAAATAGACAGGTATGTATTCAAAGACCGTGCAGTATAACCTAACTAAGAATATATCAATTTATTAATAAAATTGGTCAAGTTACTTCGGGATAACTTCAAAAAGAATTACATTTAATTTACTTCAAATTTCAAATTTCTATATGGAATCAAAGGTACCAGGAAAAAACACAGAGTATTCCAGTAACGCTGTTAGCTGACGTAGAAAAGGTTGGCCGGTGTCAGCAAATAAGAAACAGTTCCTTAAATGTTGACCAAACATAGCCGACATTAAATCGCATCGAAGAACGTATGGAGTTCTCGATAGCAGTACTGGCAACTGAAAGAAATAGACCAGAATCTTGTAAATGCCTATTAAAGTAAGTAAAATTATTAAATACATATTAATTTTAAATATTTTTAGAAAAGACACTTCAAGTAGATGCAAGTATGAACTTTAATTAATAACATAAACACAGTAAAAAATTATTCAAAAGTATATGTAATGTAATAAATGAAAAAAGATCTTATAAGAAATGAGCATACTTGACAGTAGAGCAATGATTAGGGTCGGTAATTTAAAATGCTATTCTGTGGCTTCGTAATTAATTATTAAATAATAATTAAGACTTTTATTTATTGTTCGTATTCATAATTATAAACTACAAACACATTATACAGCTTTTTATACAGAAATATTATATGTATTAATTTTTAAGTAGCTACTTTGCATCAAAAGGATTTGAGGTTTTAACTTATTGTCTTAGTGATTTTCGATATCATATAGTTAAATAATATAGATTACACTATGTTTAACATAAAAGCTTACCTGACGTCCTCTTTCCGTCACCCATAGCTGCCGTACATATTTACATATCTTCTTCAACTGATAACCTATAAGAGAATATATACTGTTATGTTCATTCCATACTATAAAGTAAATGCTTAATATTCTCTTACTCGACAGTCCTTGATTTTTCAGAACGTCTAAAAGCTCACCAGTAGCCCTTTCGTATTTATTCAAAGCATACTTAGTAGAGTATTCAACCTGCATTGCTGTGGCAATTACAATGGCAGCCAACATTTTACCGCATACCAGTGATATGGAGAGTATAATTATTGGAAGCAAATAATCTACAAGAAATTCATCACCACCGGTAGTTGTAAGTTCAGCTACTATTATATAAAATGATGTTGTGTAATCCCATTGAGTCTGAGACGTGTCACTGCAGGAATCAATTAATTTCACTTGTAATTAATACTATGTACTTCATCTTAATATAATTTAAACATAAGATTATAATCATTATTGTTATATGTTTAAGATAGCATGTAAACAACTCACTCGTCCAATATATATAACTTCAGTGTTCTTATTAAGTTGATCGGTGTGATGGCTGTAAGCGTAACTAACCAAAGACAAGTGAAAGTATGAAGCAATAATACTACGATGAAGAACGTCATTGCTGTCTGTAATAAACGAGAAATAAACCGAGAGCCAGCGTTTTCAACAGTGCTTACTTTATGAACACTCTATGAAGGTTGGAAATTATTACAATTACTTCTAAAATATTATCCAAATTAAAACAATACTTATGTCTTGTAATATTATATAAACTTATGTTATAAATATTTACCTGAAGTTTTGTTAGATTATTGGTGAGTTCGGCGGAGGTGGTGCGGTAAAATTCAACGAGGTACTTCAATCTCAATAGCTTGTTAGCTCGCAGATAGTGCATTGCTGTCACCGATTTACTAAAATAATTAACAAAAATATTATTCTGTCTCAAACAAAAATCTCTATTAAAATGATTTATGTCGTCCTATTTCAATTTTAGTGAAGTTGAGTACCTTTTTGATTTATTATGTATGTTTAAATAAAAAATTACTCTATACTGGTACGTACTAAAAACAAAAGCCAAACAATTCAGTGGGTAAGTTGGCTAGTAAATCGCTCCACATCCACAGCTTATGTCTATAGTACCTAGCTCGGCACTTGCTTGAATCCAGAATAAGGTCACCATGCCTATTGAGATATCCCTGGAACAAAGGTATTTCAAGCGGTCGACATTAATAAGTAGAAAATGAAATTTTGTTGCATGCATATGCATTAAAAACGACGTTTTATTAATAGCTCTCTTTGGTATATATAGAGTTGTGGTGAGATAAATATACAGCTCCTCGGTTCTAGTTTTGGTTGCGATAAATTAAATGAAATTTAGATGCCGTTTTAAAGTTTCAAGTATAATAAATTTCAGCTTTATGCATGAAGTGGTTGTTTCAATACAGCAGGCTAATTTAATCTATGTCAGCTTATTTCGAATTTCTATATGATCGTATTTTTGAAAAAAAAAATCCTTTATTTCTAAAATTGAGGGTTAACTTGTGATTTGTGTTATTATAATTCATAGTAATTACATATATATAAGACGAAAACAAATTTAATAAAAATTTAATAATTAGTCTCAGATGTTATACCCGATGCATTGATAAATATATTTTGACGTAGAAGAACACGTCGAAGAAGTATTGGAGCCAAAATAAAATGTAGCAGTCGTTTAAGGTGACAAGTTCGTATAAGGCAAGCACGTAATTGGCTGTTGCTATTGCGCAGGTAATATAACCATAACCCTGGAAATAAAATAGATTTTATATTAAAATTGGTCAGACAATATATGACTTGTTTTTAAATGCAATTAAGGTTCTCTAGAGTTATCCCTGTCCCGTGTTTAAATTTACGCCGTGCCATGGATATCGATTGGACAAACTTTGGTCAAATATGTAATTACATTTATTGACATAACTTTGCAATGTCTTCTAGGAACATTTAGATAACTCAGGTACCTGGTATAACTTAGATCCGGGTTTCAATAGGTTATTAATGTCCATATAGCTCTGATACGTCATCACGCTAGCAGAGGATTTTGCTTGACTTATATTGCTTGTCGATTGAGCCGATGGCAGCTTATATTGAACACCCACTGCAAAAGTTCACAGGGAGAAACATTTAGCTAAATAAATTGTTTTATTTTCAATAATCATTTATATTTATATTTTTTTATTAAAGTATTACCAGTATCATATCTGCTAGATCCACTTCTTGAATCGAATGCCGAATCTTGTGATAATATGTCAAAGTCAGAATCGGCTGTAAAATGTGAATTAATTTCTATAGTAATTTTAATTTTCTACTTATACATATGTTATCATAAACAGAACACTTGATTCGCTTACAGGACGAAGTATCTTCATTATCAACTGTTATAGGTAGAATGTAATTCTTAGAAACCTCAAACGCTCTATTAAGCGGTTCTTGTATTTTAGGATAGTATTTAACTAAATTGAAGAAAGTCTGAGCAGGCAGAACTAACAGGTCCAAATTTCGACTTGCGTATATCGCTACTTCAGAACTTGAAACTGTTTGCTGAAACGAGTTTATATTACAGTTGTCTGTTTCTTGAGTATATATGTAGATGTGTAACTTATTACTAGTTCTAGTAATTAGATAAGTTTATATGATTTTTAGTGTAGTCTTAGGAATTAAAGCTTATCAATAACACTTAAATCTATTATTGATGCAACAATGACAATTCAAGGCTGACGTAAAACAAGAGGAATATGATTGGAGTTTCAAAATAGTTTTAAAAGATGGACAAAAAATTTGCATTACTTATTGAATCAACTCATTCGAATAATGATGCTTACAGGATTCGACAAAGTTGAATTCGAGTAACATCTCGTTGACTATTAGATAAAAATTTTCACACTATATATTATGTTATTATACATTATTTAGTAAAATGTTATTGTTTACCACCAAAAATATATAACTCTAGTCTCATTTCTTTTATATTGAAAGTAAATGAAATTAAATAAAAACATTTTAATACTTATGAAACTTATATACAAATGTGTCCATATTTCCCAATTTTTTTAAATAATAATTAAATCCAGATCACCATAAGTATAGATATTGTTTTCAAAAAATCTTTGAATTAGAACATGTTATGTTAGACTTAAGAAATCTATATTTGTTTATTCATAAATCTATATTTATCCAGAAACATGTGAAATATATGTAGAAGTACATACTTACTCCAGTAAAATTACCAAACATTCCACCAGGACCCATGCATGTTATCATTTCGTTGTATGAATTCATAACATCTACCTGAAATCAATGATTCATGAATTCAATCTCCTCAATAAATTTTAATTATTTCTGAAATCTCTTTACGCAAATAATAACAAAATGTTTTCATTTAGTAAGTTGTGATTTTGTTTACTGATATTAGAACGTTTTCATAACTACATAGATTACACATATAAGTAATACTGAAAACATTATTGTTAACTCAAATAATTGAGCATAAGTTCATTTAAATTATTGGTTCTATGTATATTTTTAACGATAATATCTGTTGTCTAACAGCTTGAAAAGTTAATTTTGCATATACTATTGTATTATAATTTGTTGACAGCGCGTTACGCTCGCATTTTTGTTAAGTTAGTTTGTTTTTGATAAGAGATTGCGATGTTGTATTATATTTCGTGAGTCATTAACCTCGTAAAATATAACAATTTATTTTTTAAAAGCATTATTATATCTACTTGCAGAAATGTGACTCACCTTGCCCCTATATATAATGTAAATGTTTGATTGTATGTCCTTGCATTGCACAACCGTGTCGCCCTTAAGAAAATACATTTCATGAAGATGCTGCGTAATGACTCTGATGAAAGAGCGTTCCACTTTACCGAACAACGGCACCTCCCGAAGTGCCCGTTCATACATGAACACAAGAGTGTCTTCCATTAGCGCACAGTTTAACCCTCGACATATTTTCTATAATAACAACATTTTGCATTTATTAGATTCACGAAAAGTATTGCTTACATTAAACCTATACAAGAGGTTCCATAAGAACTTAAAACTTTTGGTGGAATAAATAACATACTTAGGTATGAGAGTAACAATTTTATACACCAAGATATAGAAAAGAAACAAAAAGTATTGAATAATATGAAAGTTTTAATTAAATTACTTCGTTAACGTACTTGTGGGTCACTGCCATGTGTCCTTTTCCAAACATATTCGAAATACTTCAAAGTCTTTATTGTAAGTATGGGGTCGACGTTAGCTTGATAAAGAAAGTTAGCCAAATCCTGAGCGTTTTCCTAAAAGTTAAATTTACTTTCTATTCAGGAAAAGTATGAAAATCTTATACAACTATAAAGTTTTTGTAAAGAAATAGTTGTTTATAATTAAGGTTTAATTATAGGACTACGGTGTCCTAATTTTAACTTGAATGTTATGGTTCCTATTTTCTTACAAATAAATCTGATCACTATCTAAGAAAGAAAGAATGAAAGAAATTGTTTAATAAAATCTGTTGCAATTCTGAAGTATCTAAAATGATTCCATAATATTATTCGAAAGAAGGCCTTTTCCGACTTGATTAATCACAGCCATTACTTCTAATCCAACCTAACCATTCATAAGCACAAAATTATTTTTAACATATTTTTACCCTTAAAATCTCAGAATTATACGGCTGCTTGATAAGAATTTATTCTGTAGATTAAATAAAAATTACGTTTTGTTAACTTCTCCTTAAAACATCAAGTATATAAATAAAATTCGTAGTTGAAATTACGAAACAGAACCGGTGAGTAATTAAGAGTTTTTTAAACACTGGCATGTCACTTAAGTTCTAAAACCTTAAACTTTAAAATACGCAACTCTTTATTGTACCAATACAGAAAGTAAATGGTTATTATTTCTATATATAAAATTTAATATAATATTAAATGTATTAAAATACGAGTATTGACCGGTGAATAATTTCTTACATTATGTTCCAACAACGCGTGAGAAGAGGCACTGCGAGTTGAAGCTATGTAGCCGAACATAAACGCAAAGTAAAGAATACCAAAGATTTGCAATGCCATAGTCAACCAAATGTCAGAATTATTAGGAATAGCTACAGGCATACATCCACAACCTGTTAATTATTAATTATTATACTAAAATAAGGAGATTTTAAAACAAAGATATTAAAATATGTCCCTTAATTATTACAGAGATAAAATATTTAACAAATAATTATAATTTGAAAATCAATTACCGACAAATATTTCGAATAACCAGAAAAATGTGTAAATGTATTCAGAGACGGCATCTGCAAAGTATTGAAAAAGATAATTTTATATTCAAAATTATACAATACGAGAAATATGCCAAATAACTTATTATATCAGATAAAATAAATTGATATTTTTACCCTTTCCTTAATTGAAAAATCATAAATAAATATGTATAGGTTTATGGATATACATTTATTTTTATTGAAATGCCTTTTATAGAATTAAATATTAGAAATATCCAATAAGATAGCATTCCACAGATACGTGGCACTACCAATATTATATATCTATTAATATCTTAAATATAAATAATAAATATTGTTATTACATGGTGTATACGTGATGTGGTAGAATGGTTACTTACATAATTTGTATTCTATAACCCAAAAGTATAAGTACACAAGAAGAATGAATTATATACATTTAATTATATAAATAAACTAGTTTTTGCCCGCGACTTCGTCCGCGTTAATTTCGTCATTAGTAATATAGGTATAGCTGACCGGGCGAACTCTATTCCGTCTTCAATAACCCGGTATTGGTATTTATTAAATTTCTACTGTTTCAATCGAACAGAATGATTGATATATTAGTTAGTTGTCAAGTCTAATGTCAAAAAATAGTTTGTATGGGAAATAGAGAAGGGCTGTTTTTAGGGTTTTTTCGGCAATCATTCCAATTTTTCTCACCTTTTAAACCTTCCCTGGACTTCCAGGAGTATTTCAAGACTAAAATTAGCCAAATCGGTTCAGCCGTTCTCGAGTTTTAGCGAGACTAAGGAACAGCAATCCATTTTTATATATATAGAAGATAAATATATTTTACTGTAGAATTTATAACAAAGGCCTTACATTTGATTTTATGATTTTCACTTGAGAGCACCATAACACGAGTGCAATTTACCATAATTAAGTTAGTTGTCGACACTGTGTATGGTGTACAGGAATTCATGAAAATTAAGGCCGCAACAAGATTAACGATAGTAACAGCGACAGGAAGAAACTTTAGAAGAATAACAGCTTCATTGACTCGCATTATATCACTCTCCCAGAATGTGAAAGCTCCTGTGATTCTAAACACCTAAAATAATTTATAATATTTTTCAAGTCATCATCGTCATCAGCCTATCAGGGCCCACTGCTGAGCAAAGGGGTCTTCTCACAAGGAGAAGATTTTAGAATAAATCACCACGCTTGCTCAAGACGGGTTGACAATTTCAAATTTATAATTGGAAATTATAATTATATGTATTTCTGGTTTCCTCACGATGTTTTCCTTCACCGTCTTTCTGTGGTGTCTAAATACTATTAGAAAGCACATATGACTTTGAAAAATCACTTTGGTACGTTCCAGATTTCGAACCCGAGCCCTCGTGATTGAGAGGCGGGCATTTCACCACTAAGCCACCACAACTTCATCACAAATTTAAGCTAATCGCAAATATTTTAAAATACTATTCATACTATAGTAGGGTTTTGCTTCAATTTTTTTTGGGTTGAAATACTTAATTAAGGACATCAAACCAGTGAACTGATTGGGGGTATTGATGTTTAATGAGACCTACTGAATTAATGTTTGTGATAAACGCTTTGTTGAAATTCAATAATTAATACTGTGGAATGAATTCCTACTTACGAGTATAATGCGATTTATTCGGTAAAGGTCGGTTTCGGCGTTTTCATTTATTATTTTAAACTGAAAATATAAATTTATATAAGTCAACATTTACAAACATAAGAAATTATTAAGTTTTAACACATAACTCGTATCATACCAATTCTTCAAAAGGCAGAACGCTTATTAAATCAAGAAAAAAGGCATGTTTCAAATATCTTGTCATCGTCAAAAAAGGATGTGTTATTAAGAGTGATTTATCATCGTAATAAGCAACGTAGGACATCACTATTATATCCACATATAGAAAAATATCCACCCAGTTATATCCGCCGCCATTTTTACTTTGTTTTGTCTGCAAACATATTTTTGCTCAGTTTATAACTCAAAAATAAAGTTAACGATATTTCTAAAATAATGGCATAATTTTATACTTACAGCGATATTATAGGGCACAATTAATACGTAGTAAATTGCCAAGAAAAATCGTATCGTGCACCAAAGTTTAATAAAAAGACCATGTGGTGTTATACAACCAGGAAGAAATATATATCTTAAGTATCTGCGGAGAAATACATTGAAATTTTTAAAAATATATTAAAAACAAAGTTAATATTATCAAGATTAGTTCTACAAGTATGATAACGATTAAAAATATAGTAAAATTAAATTTATTTTTGGAAAGAATAGGTACTTTATTAGAAATTTATCGCATTATGCTATATGACTTGGGACTATTATTTAATCAAACAAAAAAAGAGGAAGTTCTCATTATGACTAAAGATTTGTTACAGTATTATTATAGTATAGTATAGGATAATAAAGGCTATAGAATAAATAAAAAATAGGATTTAATTAAAAGCTCCTTCAGAAATGATGATGAATCAAAGGGGAGGGATGATGTACCAAATATATTTTATATTTAAATAGTAATCATGAAAAATAAATGATTTAAATTACGAAATAAAAAGATAATAACCTCATGATGCCAAGTTTGTTAAAAGTTTCTAGAAATTCTTTTTTGCCTCTATGTCCGCTCAATACAACAAAACTTTCTTTTATTTCTTGCTGTAATAAATAATATGTAAGTTATTGCATGATTATTATATAATTTTATCCGATTTAAATATGTTTCAAAGTAAATACCGCAAATCTGTTTGTTCTGGTGTCAATTCTACCCATTAACGGCTTACCATCCACAAATTTAGATGCCTCCTTTTCTATCTCGGGATTCTTTATTGTCTGCAACCAATATTAAAAAAACATTAGAGATTTATTACAACTCACTTAGACTTTACAGAATTGACCCACAAGAATGACAGTAACGCTTATAAAATTCTTTCAATAAAAATACATTTTTTAAAATATTAAAAAGTCCTGTTAATATTATTAAGCAGCAAAAAACATTGAACTCAAGTGTGTTCATGATAGTTTGAGGATTAGTGGAAATTAACTTAGAGACAAATGAACATCGAATTCATATATAACTCATACATATAAAAAAAAATCTTATTTGAAAATCAGTTCAAACCTCAAATATTGGATGTTTTATATCAGGAAACGTACTCCAGCATTGAACCAGAGCACTGTATTCTATGTGCAGTAAGCTGCAGTTAGTGCAAGTCAGCACAGTGTGAACCTGTGGAAGTATGATGAGTCAAATGTTTGAATATATTTTGAATTTGTTGAACAGTTCATTCTTAAGTCAGAAAATACAGAATAAATATTTATAAACCAACTTTAAGCAATATTTTCGTAAAGTGTTTTATTGAGTAGTACATATGAGCCTTGGCTTTAGGACTTTATAATATTTTATTGAACTTTATCAAGAGAGAAAAGAAGAGAAACAATAAAGGAGAAATAAAAAGAGAGAAGGATGTAATTACCTTTGGAAGGCCATAAACCATTTCTATAACTCCAACAACGCTACCAGGACCAATTGAAGATTCAACTTTGCCGAAATGATTTAATTTATTACAGTGACCCTTGAAAAACATAGCGAAAAGCATTTCATTAAGATATATATATAAAAAAACAATAGCGAATCAAAAGAACTTTAAAACCTTGGTTAAAATATACATATCTCTCCCGATATCCGCTGCATGTTGCAATACTTCGTTTGCGGGTAAAACTAAACACTTACAATTAGAAGCTAGTGTTTGTAAGAAATCATGACTGCAGCCCTGAAAGAAATGGTTCAAACTTTACACTCCGAAACCGATTTTGAACAACACATTGTGTTTAATGAATAAAAACCTACGCATTAATTTTCATTTAACGATTAGACTATTTCCAGTGAACAAACAAGTCTGTTTGAACGATTACTCAATTTTAAGCAAAAATGCCGTCATAGTTTTGTGAACAACTGATACTCATACTTTAATAGATAGATAAAACTACAGATAGTTAAGAACCATCGCAATTAAACTGACTTACAACTTAAGTAACTCGAGGCTACTCACACACGAATGAACTCGCGCCCACACACACACACACATACGTCAAACTTAGAATAACCCTCTTTTTGTGTTAAGTCTAATTAATTATGTTATATTAAGTCTAAAAACTAAGAGTTTTTGATTATATTCAAACCTGAAATAGAGGGCAATATTGAAACGATTCAATCATTTGCAGAGCCAAAACTTCTTGTTGAATGTTGCTAGACATGTCTTTAAATATTTCTTCACTTGACACAGCGTTGTTATAGTACCTTGTTTATAATTAACGTAATATTAGATTAATTTATGAAATTATCAGAAAAATAATAATAGTTGTTTACTTTTAAAGTATATACAAACCATTGCACAAGGAAGAATTTCTTTACTCTAGCTTTTATTTTCCCACTCACGTGGTTCACAGAAAGAAAGTAAAATAAATCTCTCATTGAATCCTATAAAAACATAATTTCAATCATCTTCTTATCAGTTAATAAATGTTTTTAATATCTGCTGATTATTTTTATTTAATTTTATAAAATCACCTTAAATTTTAATTTTCTCTGAGTTGACAGCAAGAACAGGGAACTAATTTTAGCTATGTAAAAACAACTTACATAGCTTCCGAAGGCGATTAAGATTATTACCTGAAATATTTACAACACTTATAGTTTAGAAACAATAACACAAAATTAAGTAAACTGTAAGCCAACGTCATAAATTAAAACTTTTGATGCATAAAAATAAGTAACCCATTAAATTATGTTAGAAACCGAAATACTAGTTTCCATGTATAACAACATTGTTTTATCATAATATTTATGTTTTACGGTCAATTAATATTTCAAGAAGACCAGAATTATATCACCAGTCCCTGGATACACATTGGATGACCCACTGCCAGTGATGATAGCTGTTCCAAGACAAAAAGATGATGTTGTTGGTCTTTCATGCTTAGCATCATTTGTAACAAATACTTTAGTTTCCCAATAAATCAGCGCAGCCATCCATGAATCCTATTTTCAATAGATTTAAACACTAGAATCTAAAGTATTATTTTATATTTAACAAGTGATTATATTATATGAATATTTACCTCACGACACAAGTTTTTCGGGCAAGCAGTGAGATATAAAATAAAGCCAGACCAATAACAAAATATTATGAATAGAAGAAAAAACTTTAACAGAGAGATCATCTGAAAATGTATATTTTCATTATTAAGTCGTGTCATTTAAAAAGTATATATAAAGTATACTTAATTCTTACTCGCTTTAAGATGCAAATGAATAATAATAATTGTCTAAAACTATATTTTTAATTCACCTTGGCATTACTATTAAAATTATTTTGCCATTTATCCAAGTAGTCCCATATATGCCACACTTGCAACATCGGCAACATAGCAGCTATTTGAGTAGCCATGGATTCATTTTGAGGATCCAGAGTGTCAGTGAATATATACAATGGAAACACAGATATTATATCTAAATAAAACCCCGTAGTGGCCATCTTTTCTTCAATTATCTCACGTACCGTCATTTTTCGAACATTCTGTATTGTTGAGAAGGAAGTTTTAAAGAAATATATTATTCAAATCTTTTCATGTCTAGTAAGGTAACAGTTAAGGATTTTGTTTTTTTTTTATCTTAGATAATATTCTTAAATACATATGTTCAATTTATTAAAAGGAATCCATAATTTAATCAGCTAAACAGATTACCGGAAATTTATTTCTTTATTTTTCTGTAATACTTATATCGACTTTCACATAAACTTTAATATTGTAAAGTTTTCCACAATACTACGAACATATGTATGTATGAACAGACTAAGAATAATTTCTCCCAGATTTTTGTTATTATAGAAACTTATGGAAATTTTCATTACAAAACATACAACGTGAAATGAACTGTCAAAGAACAAACCTTTTTTACTACCGCAGTAGTGATTTGTGTATATATGTTTAATAAAAGTCCAGCAATAACGATAGTGTTAAGGATTTTCTCCCAGTCAGGCAAGTTACTGTTGGCTGAGAAGTGCGGACACATAAAGCAGATGTACAGCACCATTATAAAGTGAGTAACGTCGAATATATTTAACTAAAATGTTATAATATATTTTAATAAGGAGTGATGTTGTATTAAACTAACGCCTTCATAATATTTATCCCCAAATTCAATCACACAGTTTTTCTGAAGGCATACTTATTGCTAACATTAAATTTTGAGTATAATTTTTCATATTCTATGGTTAAGATTTTTATCGACCAAATTAACAAAAATTTAATTAGATTCAATATAGATCTATTGCTATAAATTATTTTAATATAACTTACGAAATCTGTGTTTGGTTCCAAAATCCAAGGAAAGTTTGCTCGTAGACAAATACGCGGTTCCTTAATACTCGTCACATTATTAGACAATTGATACAAGCCTAGATATTCCGTTGTAAATTTACGACAACTCTCGTTGTTTTCGTCTGTAAATATTATATTAAAGATAAATATGTAATAAATACGAACTGGTAAAATTTTTTATTCACTAGTTATAACCTCGATTTCGTAAGCGCAAAATTTTGATATCGTATTTTTTTTAACTATAAAATTATTAAATTTATACAATAAATCTAGCTAGTGTTATGTCAGCTGTATAATGTTAGCTATCTGTCTATGTAAGTTCAATAAAAATAGATTCATGAATTGCAGAGATTTGACGGAACAAAAGATAAACAAAAAAATCTTTTACCAATATAGATAGATTATAAACGTTTATCATTATAAATTTGAATCGCCTTTAATGATTTTCGTAGTCGTTTCAAATATAACATTATATGTTTATGATTACCCTTATAATACATATGAGAATCATCCACGAATGTTGGATCTTCCTCTTCTATTCCTGCTAAATGTTCTTTAAGTACTTTCATAGGCCTGTACCGAGTTTTAATCAGTCTTGAGTCATCGAGATCATACTTTTCTATTGCTCTCTGGAAAATAATAGTTATTGCATATTAATATCATTCAAGTCTATAACGCAGAATAAATCAATCTGTTTTTTGAATATTATTATTGTTTACTACTCCCAGATCGATTGATATAAAAAGTGGAAATTAAAAGAAATTAAAGAATTCTAATAATAAATAGCTTTTAAATTTTTGGGAATTGCATTACTATAGAAAATTATAGTAAAGACCTGTCTTTTCTTAGCGTCTTGAATCCGGGAATCGACTTTATCTCTAATATGTTGAAGCAAATGTGGATTTTCACTCATTGCTCGCATGAAATCTGTCCGTCGTAAGACCTTCAATGAATTTTATTTAGATACCAATAATTTTTATTAAACATGACATTGTTTAACATAATTTTATCAAAATGGTACCTGAAGTTCAACGTATGTAGCTGCTCTTACTGTAACTTTCGATGGAATTGAGTAGAACAAACTTATTTCTCCCAATACCTTTCAAATTCAAAAATAATTGTCAATATTTATTTCCAAACTAAATAATCAAAATAATTTACTTAAGTTCTTAGGCGTATGTATGTATGGAGATACATATTTTATTATAGAACTAGGACTTTTTTAAGCATAGTAATAATAATTTAACTAACCGTGCCGTCTTTAAAAGCAATCATCGGACTCTCGTCATCTTCGTCGGACAGTATTTCCAAAACTCCTCGTTTGATACAGATCATGCCATTTTTAACTACACCTTGGTTCCAAACATTCTGACCTTCCAAATAAAGCTCGTGCCTCATCAGTAATGATATATGACGCATGAATGATTCATCTAAATTATTACAATAATATATTTAATATACCCACATTTTACAACTATCCACAAAAACATCAATGTTACCAGTATCTCTTAAAAGTAAAGAATCGTGAAAATTTCCAACGTTGATGTCAAAAATTAATTCCATTTGTAAAGGCAAGGGTAATTCATGTAAATGTTGTGTTGTCAATATTCCATCTTTCATTTTCCATAACTGTTTCTTATATTTTTTCGCCTGTTCTACCAAAAAATTAGGTGATCCGCGAAATTTCAGGAAACGGACCATATGGTGATACTGTATAGTAAAAATATACTTTGATTATCCCTTTACAGTATTAACAATGATATGTTATATACATATAACCTATTGTTTTATTTTCTGTTTCAGTTTTATATTATCAACTCAAATAATATAATCAATAAATACCTGTTCAACAAAGGTTACCCATCGACTGCTATCAAGAACAAGCCACCACGTGAGGCCTCCAATGAAATGGTATTTAATACAAACGTATCCAAAAATCATCAAGAGAGAAGTTAACCATTTTTGTTTATAACTCTAGTAGAATATAAAACCAATTCTAATTATATTGTTATCAATTTCAATACGCTAATAAAAGAGTTAATTTACCAAAGGAAAGCTATCCCCGAATATGCAATTAAACAAGCGGCAAGTGCAGTAGTAACAACATGTGAGATAACTGAAAGAAACTGTATAAAGTTACAGATTCACGTATTTTATAATTTAATAAGATATTACAACATACTTGTCAAATTTAAGCTTCTTTGATCCAACAAACCAACCATAGACATGCCATTCTTTCGGATCTAATAGTGGTTTATTAAAAAAATACCATAAACAAGTACTAGCATGCAGTATTAGACCCAGTGAGACGAAGTGTTCTCCGACATACAAATTAATCCTTGAAGTACGCATCTGTCAACAAAGAAGACAACATTTTTATATTATATAAAATGGTGTATAGAGCTATGAATGTTTTTTAAGAAATAGTTTTGGTGGAATAATAACAATTCATAATAAATATGCGGAATATTAAAATAATGGGGCCTAAGACTTTTGCGAGTATTCACTAAAATAAAAGGAATGCTTTTTTCAGATTTACTACGCGTTTATAATGATTTTCAACAACATACTTCCGTCGTCTCGGTTACTTTGCAACGGCCGTGTTCCGTAATCGCGTCTGACAGTGATCACGGTTGCTACAAAGTAACCGAAACGAAGGGGGCTATGTTATTAAAAACAATTATAAAAGCCTAGTAAATCCGGAAAAAAAATTGTTTGATTTCGAGAACAAAAAAATATTCAATTAATTACATATATCACTTACCGATTCGTTAATACTTTGAAAGAAACCAATCACTCTGTATATTCTTAAAATTCCCAGCCATCTTCCGACGCGTATTCCTTCTTCATACTCCGGAATGTGTTTGACTGAAAACATAATTGAATTTTATAGAAATTTACGAAACACGATGTGAAGAATTGGAATTTTGAAAATTCATGATATCTTATACTTCATTACATAGCAGGAATTTAAATGTAAAATTACATTTATTCACAATGTAAACCGTATGAGTTTTGCCAAGACAAACGGTTTAAATTTATTCGAAATTTGCATAATATAGCGAGCCGTGACTTAAAACCTATATTTTTTAAGAAAAGTTACTACTCTATTGCATATGATTTATTATTCTTCCCAAATCGCTTAATATATAGAAGCATGAAGTTACACACATATTAAAACCAGTGGCATAAGACTTATGACATCATACGCCAACGATATATAACTTCGTCTGTAGACTCGCATGTGCAGTCTTAATATGGGCCAAAACTCGTGCAACAGCTGTATCATAACATCAAAAAAGAAAAAGATCTCGCCGATAACAAGAAGTACTTCCAGAAATAAATACGATTGTTCCAAATAATAGGCAAGAAGAAGTTGGACTATGTATCCATATATAACAATTAACAAAACTGTGATCTGTAACAAAAAATGTTTATTTCTTCTTTCCATGTTATAATATATAAGTATTTTATAAAGAATAAAATTATTTATATATTTGATAATAATATAATTGATCAATGAATCAACCTGCCACCAATTTTTCCAAGGCGCTAAAACTATTCTCTGCATAACAACTCCAAATCTTCCTTCCCACAAACATTTTCCTCGGAACGTGTAATTAATGCCTTTGTTTTGAATATTAATTTTACTGGAACGACCAGTACCCAGAACTGTACCTATTGTACTAAAAGGTAATATTAATTTTATAACATGAACTATATTTTCAGTTTAAATTTTTTTAATAACATCGCTTACAAACGAGATAATTTTTGATAATAATAAATATTCATAAGACAAATAGTATTTGAGAAATTTTATGTTTTTCTACACCGTTCCGGCCGTTTTTGTTTATCAAAGATTATAATTACTAATTAGCAATAGCAAATTGATCGTTCTGCTAGAAAAGTATATTTTTTTGTGAATACAAATAAATAAAACTAAAAGATTGAAATAAAGTCGGTGATTATATTATACGGCTTAGTAAATAGTATCAATAATCATGATCTTTTTAATACTTCAGGAGTAATTGATAATTCATTTATATATTTATCCCTTATAATTCATTGTTAAAAAATAAATATTCTTGTTAATTTTTGCATTACTACTACTAATTTTGAAAATCAACGATTATTTTAAAGATAATACCTATTTAAATTAAATATTTTTTTTTAAATATCTTAATATTTACCAAAAGAGTATTATTAGAAATCAATTTTAGAAGTTAGAATAAATAAGCAAGATTTTAGGGAATATTGATGTTTAATAAGACTCCTTTACCAAGAAGTTATCGTGGGCATGACATAGCTTAACTAAATTGTAAAGAAATGTTATTTTTATATTTACAAACCCTGTAACAGTCCCTAGAGATGGTTCACTTATACTTCGAATCATTATTAAATCTTCCTTGTAACACTTTATTTATGATCATAAGGACATTTGAAACATTGTAAAACATGACCTATGAGATAAATAAACAAATGCCATATATATTTTTTAAATTTAACTTTGCAAAAAGTTTTAAATAAGATATTATTTCGAGTAAGATAAACGTTAAATAGTGGTACTATGTATTAAACTAAGGTTTTAGGTAATTGTTGTCATGATGTGTAACAAATTAAGGTAGTAGAGGCTATATAGCATTGAAGAAGATGTAACTAACGCCTCTGTTAATTTCTAAACCGTTGATTAATTGTTCACAGGAGACAGCTTAATCTGTACTCTAGTTGGTAATTTATCACAAGTAGCTTCACGTTAAGTTTAAACATAAAATGCTAGTATTCTAAATATTGCGTAGTGCATAAATTCTTTATTATACTTTATTTTGCTTACTTTATAATAATTATTTATAGACTGTGCTATAAAATAGCGAACAATATTATGCTTATCAGTTGTGTCAACATGGGACACAATTTGTTTCGTCGAATCTTGCTAAAACTTAAGTATGTTTTAACCCAATTTCGCTAAGTGACCATCAGTTTAAGACGGATTAAGCCTTGAGTCAGCAGAATGTATTTCTAACTGAAATTTAAAGAGCTGCTGATTTAAGATATCTTCATATCCCTTATTAACCTGACAGGAAGATTAGTGAAATGGAGAGAAATATTCGGAAAGTAATGTAAAAATTACAATGAATATGTTTACATGACACTCCTAAACACGTAATTAAATATCGTGTTAATATTGTCAAATTGTATGCAAACAACAACCATACTTAAAATAGAAGGCATTTATTTATTTATTTATTTATTAATTTGATCTACCAACATTTGTACACATCATTACATACTTAAAATAAACAATACACAATAACTTAAAACTAGGTGTGACAAACAATTACAGGTAGATACATCATGCTTAATATTCCTCCCAGCTCGAGCCGCAGTAAAAACAAAACCAATAAATTTTAATAAAAATATAAAAAAGAAATAAAATAATAAAAGGTAAACTTACAAAATAAAATAAGAAATGAATGAAGGCATTTTGGAGTATTTCCCAAGTCCGACAAAGATATTAAAAAATATCACATTAGTTTTACTATATCAGCGTAATCTACACTCGTTACATATATAAATGTAATTAAATCTATACAGGGTGACTGGTGAATTACTATCGGTACTTGAGGACGTGATATTTGACGATCATATATGACAAAATAAAAAATAATATAACATAAATATTAATAAACTTCTAAGTAAAGTTAACCAAAAGTTATGTAATTAATTACGCATCGTGTGAACACCCTACAGATTAGGTATATACACACAAACACACACACACACGCGTGCGGCGGCGTTGTGTTGTATCAGCACGCCGCCGCACGCGTCCACACTTGGAACACTTGGAACTTTTCCACACTTTATTTATTTATACGGAAATTTGGTCAAAAATGAAGTACCTATTTTTTTTACATAATTCGAATGAGAATCATGTACCGAGTATTCTCCTTAAATATTGATAGTAATTCACCAGTCACCCTGTATAATGGTATATTCCTGCCAAATTGTCACAGAATTTTTAATACAAAATTAATATTATTATTCTTTTGAAATTATTTAAATTGTTACCATAAAAAAACTATCAAATGAAGTGCATCACAAGATTACGTATGTACAAAATGTATTTATAATAATTTTAATTCCAACATTACGTTGCAAGCATTACTTTACATACATATGAGAGCTTAGTTTTAATTTAAAAACAGGAACTTCTTGCTCTAAAAACTCAGTTCTTAACTACAAATATTATATGAAATTAGAAAAATAAATAACGAATATTACGCAAATATTCAAAACAAAAACAAAAATTGAAAGTTGCGTTAGGTATAATAATGATTTCTAAAAGTTTTTTATGCTATGTAGCGAATAAGAAAGTAACATAGTAAAACAACACAAAGAGTCCAACAAATCATACTTTATTCAAACACTATTT